TCGATGAAACACGGAACAGAAAAGTATCTTATGAGTATGTGATGTGTGTTTTTTTCTTTGATTGAATAGCATCGACCAAAGTGAACACAATATGGTATCTTGAATCTGATTATCAATCATTATTCTGTTCTTTTTCTACGATTTCATTCAAATGAGACCTTTTATCTGAGTATTTGTCTTCTCCTATACTTCACGATTAATGTCTGATTATTCGAGGACGTCGATCCTTGACATTGACTTCGAAATTTCACCAAAAACGTTTTCCCGATGCAGTACTATTCCTATGAGCATTGACTCGTAGAATAAAAGAAATAAAACTGAGTTGAGATGTCATAGACCTAACTTCTAAGTTCAAATTGTCCAACAGCATTCTTGAGGAAATGTCAAACTTTTCTCATGACAGTTCTTTCGGAAGATCCACTCCTTAAATGCAATTACTGGAAAGTCTACTTAACAATGTTAACTCAGTGTTTTAGCTGTTCCAAAAACACTGGAAGTTTTGTATCATCAGTGTTGTACAGCAAATGAAATTCAATCGAATAAACCTCGCTACGATATTGAGCAATTTAGCATCTTGGAATAGTCTAGGACGCCAGTCATGACATTATTATTGTGTGATGGATGACTAGTCACAATATATTTAAGCGTCAATTTTTTTTCTAATTGTAGTAAAATTTAATATGAACCGATGTGTTTGTGCAAAAAGAAATCTGAACAAAGTCTTGGACTTTATATTCAGTTTTGTAATAGTTTACGAAACTACTAAAAATAATTTGAAAAGATCGTGTGAAACCTTTTTTTCTGAGTTTTAAATCGAAGATAATTTTTGTACAACCTAGTTGAAATTCTTTAGAAATATTTTTTTCATATAAGATCACTAAATGTGCAGTACTCAATGATCAAATATAACTTCATTGACAACAATGAGAGCTAATTTTATTGAAAGCAGAGCAATATGAACAATCATTTAGCTAAGGTTTACATCAGTTTTCTAAGGTTGATGCCTTCATAGTAGTACTGTTAATAGCGACAAGTCATGTACGGAGCGACAGAAGTGGCTCTTTGTGGTTTTTTGCAGTGTATCCAAGCAACAAGAGTTTCTCTCAAGTGTGAAATAGTACCAAGAAGTGTAAACGAGAGTAGAATTGTGGGAAGATAGTTGACATAGTAAAAGTAGGGTCCTTGTACATCTGATCCAAAATCGGGTAATCCTGACCAACGTACAATGGTGACAATAATGTAAGGTAGATCAAAAATGTAGATTACTGATATGCACATAAATTGAACAAGCATCTTTCTATATTTTCGCCATCGACCAGTTTGACGTAAGCGAAATTTCTGCACTATAACACGAATGATCATGGCACCACTCAGTATAACAGTGAGAAAGATGGGGATGACGTAATGAACGAGAGATTCATACCATATTAACCAGGCTGGTATACCGTTGTAATAATAAGGACCACCGCATAAGAGAAGGGAATAATCATAATCGTGTGCTATTGGATAGAAAAATATTAAATAAACATAAACAATCGGACAATAGAAAGTAAAAAACATCAATGGAATGTAGTGAATGAACAAGCGTCTATATGAGGTGTTAACTAGATTCGTGCAGAAAATAAGAATATATCGTTCAATTGACATCCAACATGTTAGAAAAACATCTCCGAACCAGAAACCATAATCGACCAATTGCCAAAGAAGACAAGCACCAACAGTAGAAGGTAGAACGCGATCCAAACGAAGAAAGTTCAAATGCATGGATAAATCGATCGTTAGAATGACGAAGTTGATCATAAGTTTGCCAATAAGAGCATGATTATGAAGGGCTTCTCGTAGATCTCTATGAACCAGATATGTGTAGATTACAAACAAATAACAAGGAATAGATGCCGCTTCAGAAAAGACGATCAGCCAAAATTTGATAATTTTCGAAAGAGGTGGATCAACAGCATGAACGCCATTGCTATCGAAGATTGTTGTATTATCCATTGACATAGAGTATAATTATAATACTAGACTAAAAAAACCAATATCAAATAAAACTAATGCGCACTTATAAAGTTATTTGATAATTATCTCATGCATTGCTAACTATTGAATAAGATACATCTATACTTACAATACACATTGTTTTTTTTTCTAAGAGAGAACATGATAAAACTTAAGTTACAAGTAACTATCCAATAATATTACAGTTTGCAACCAATCCCAGCACACTAGAGAGTGTTAATATGAATCCGCTTTCTATCGAGTCATGCTTGACATGCGTGCAGACAAATCCTTCCAGGCGTATTCTTCTTTTCTTTTTACTATATTGGACTTTGCCATGAGAATCTGATGATGTCAATGAATCATAAGATCTGTCAGATTCAATCTGCATGTGCAGTGTTGTGCTAAAATATATCACGCTTATATCAATCAAAAATAAAAATATCGTTTTCTTGACATCGTTCAAGCTCTGCACTACGTAAAGAATAGACGTATGCGTATAAAATAACTTGTTACTTTAAACATAAAAAAAACATCGTGTGTGTATGAATGCATTTTTTTTGTGCTTTCATCAAACACGCTGTATCGTGAATAACATGAAAAGACGATGAAAATGCGCTCAAATTAGTTTGTAATTAGAACAGAATGCATACAACCATGTCTTATAAATGAATTGTAATGCGTTTGAAAAATAAACAAGTTTACAGGCTCTTGAACTATATGTGAGTCTGTACGTTGAGTACGTTTAGATGCACGAAGTTTGGACCGAACTCAAGCATTTATTACTTCATGTGCATTTGTGTGCTGATCGTCTTTAAACATGTCTTAAGCGCCACACAGGTGTACTTCAAAAAATATCTAAAGACGTCTAGAATGCTAAAAAATATCCTGAGTTGTTTCGGATAGAAATATTTCTACAGATTTGCGTTCATAGATGTTTCTAAGAACAAGACAGAGTTGTAACCGGTAACGATAGTTTTTATTGGTCAGTAGACACAACTTTTTTCTTACCGATCAGTAGGAATTTTTTGAGTTTTTTGCATATTTTTCCAAAAGAATGATTATGAAAGTGTTTTTGTTTAGCAAATCGAAACACTTTTTATTAATGTCAAAGGCTATTCCAATGATGAAACATGCATCGAACCAATTATTACATACAATAAAAATTCACCATAGTACACTTATCACATTCTATTAAATCACTTTCATATCAAGTTTTACTATCAAAACGAAATTGAATAATTATTTAACACTGTAGTTTATAATAGATTTTGTTTTCTTTCGTCTATTGCTTATAGAATATATTTCGAACAGACATAAAAAAATGATCAAGTGAATATAATATAGGAAGTAGATTAAATATACAATTAATCAATGTCGAAAGCTGATAAAGGGTTCATAGGCTTGTGAAATCTTTTGTTCCTGAATAGATATCTAGAAAGAAAAGACTTATACAAATCGATAGTGAAAAATACTAAAAAATGATTCTCATATTACTACTTTAGAGTTAAGGACGCAGATGTGACTAATCAAAGAGTTAATTTAACGATTATAGGATCACAAAGAGAACGAATAAATCATGTCGGTCGACGTACAACTCTAGTACGGTCTGGAGTTTCTAGTAATACTGATACCAGTAAGAGAAAAACCTTATCGGTTCTAATTCTGTAGTAAACACAGACATGGACTAAAGGCGATAATCTTTGTTTGATGTTTAAATATGTCAAAGAAGGTTTTCCAACAAATATGATCTGCTTTAACATATTTAAGTTAATATCCGGATAATAGTCTCTACTATCGTTCCGACATTAGTATCTAATAATATTGAAATTCAAGTAAAAAACTAGCAGTAGCTTGACGAACTAATTTTCAATTCATATCAACGCAGCTATTCATTGTTCTTACTCATGCATCCAATGTTTGAAATAATTGATATTATAATGAATTATTTTATCATAAGAAAATATGAATTATTGTAATGCATTATCTTGTCATAGGAAGATAATGAATATTATAATGCATTATTTTGCTATAGGAAGACATGAATGCGCTTACATGATAATGACATCTATTTCATGTATTATAGTTCATAGGAAATATCACAAATTATAAGACATGATACAAGTTGCATTCTAGTGCATGAAAAAGTTTAATACATTACAATCACTGAAATAAAACGCATTGAAATTAATGCGTTTTAATGCATTAATTTCCTTAAAGACTTTAAATCATTTCAATGCATCCGATTTTATTTTCTATTAAAGTTTGACAACGCCCATATTTCAGTGTTATTTTAAAAAAATGATAAGGAATCAATTGAAATCGGTTGTAATCAATACAAATTAACATTGTTTCAAACAAGAGAAATATGCCTGTGGAAAAATACAAGAACATTAATCCTTATCAGTGAATATATAATAAATTCTAAGTTATATTAATTATTGCAATTTATATGAAATTCGTCGAATATTTTCTTGATTTTGAATAGCGTCTGGATGTGATATCAACAATGAGGATTTTATGATTAAAGCTGATTTTTCATAATAGTTAAGTGCTTATTGAAAATCTCCTTTCTTTTCATGTAAAATACCAATATTTTCAAGTGTAACAATAATAGAAAGATGTTCAGAAGGAAGAGATTTAGATTTTATATCAAGTGAGAATTGATAATGTTTCAATGCTCGATCATAATTACCTAAGGGATGATAAACAGCACCAATATTATTATGTGAATGTCCACTATGTGGATGTAGTGCAGGAAGAAGTATTTGACGAATACTCAATGATTTTTGATAAAATTCGAATGCTTTCATGTATTTCTTCTGTTCATCATAAACAAGATCCATACTTTGAAAACAAAGAGCTATATATAAATCATTGTCTCTGAATGCTTGTTTATAATCACCTTGTTTTCGATGAATATTACCAATATTATGATAACTATTTGCAATATTTGGATGATTGGATTTTAAAGTTGTTTGTTTAATTTCAAGAGATTTATATTGTCATTCAAGATTTGATTCATGAACTACATTACCAAGTGAAAGATAACATGCAGCAAGATCTATATGATCATAAGTTAATTCATTTAATAATCGACGATAATATTTTTCAGCATCATCATATTTTCCCATATCTTCTAAAATATGTCCAAACGAAAGAAGAGTTTTTTCTTCATCATCATATTCATTTTTTATATATTGAAAAAGTGATTTTAATTGACGATCATTATAACTACATAGTTTTATCTGAATCATCCATATTCCATATTGATGATGATAAATATTAATTAATTGAAAAATTGATCCTAGCATAAAAAGAACTTCTTCTTCATCTGGATAAGAACTTTTTAAAGTGATATCACTAAATGGTTTAATATGATTTAGTTTAGAATAAGCATCAATATGAAATATGACTAGTTCACTATTATCTGAATTTGATAGAAATGATCGAGATGCATGAAGATCAAGACTCGGTGAAAGAAATAATTTAAATGAAATAAATTGTCCGCGAAGATTTTTTAACATATTTATTTTTTCTAAGGATATTCTTTGACCTCGATAAACACGTTTTGATGATGAACATTTATTTTGTTCAAGTTCTTGTTTAATATCATAAATAAAAAATCGAGAATAAAATAGTAGATCAATATTTTCTTGTCGAAGTGCTTTATATAATAAACCATAAAAACATGAATTTTGATTGTATATCGCCATAAAGCTTTATCAGATATATAATTATTTCCAAATTCTTGAATATTATTTAATTCGTTTTGATCTTTTTCGTAATATTGTTTACAAAACTGAATGAGTTCTTGTTTATCAATTAAATTTGATTTCATTTGAAAAAGCCAATCGATTAATAATTCTGAACATATAAATTGACCAATGATTCCTGTACTGTAAAAGATTTTTCTTCATTTGAATCATAAATATTAATTGATATTGATTCATTAACTTTCTTATGTTTTTCTTGCTTTAGATTCCATTGAATTTGATTAAAACGTTCATTCAATTCAACAGTAACACATTTTATCTCGACAAAATTAAAATATTATCATTTTTCAAAAATTTTATCTGGTATTTACGTTAGAATATTGCTTAGCCCATTCATCATTGAAATTTTTATTCATACAATAAACATAAATGGAAGAAATTTGTTGCAGTTGATTTATATGAGAAACAATTTGTCGACCTAATTGACCATTAGTAATAAGAAAAATTCGATCTTCTTTAGATAATGATTGAATGTATTGCTCATATACATCAACAGATTCAAATGTTCTTAAACGATTAATTAATGTTCGAAGATGTTGTTGAACTTGGTAATTGTGATCAAAATCATTTACTGAAGCATCGAGCCAAATAAGATGAAATATTTTAGAAGTTTTGCTTGATGCTATAGAGGATACTACAGCCATAGCTGAAGTATGTTATTATTATGATCAATAATACACTCTTGTCTGTATCTTGATGAATTCTTTACGTTGATAAGTTACTGAGAAAGGATAAGAATTAAGTTATGTTGTAAATATTTTTCTTCGCTAGTAATAATATTTACCTAGGTAAATAAGAATACACGTTATTTATCCTGAATGAATTACTTTATTATTCATATGTGTCTTTTGTTTAAGACATTATTGGATATCAGATTTATCAAACCTCTCATGTAAAGAACAGACTTCTGATTGCAAGAGTTGTTTTTTTATGATTAACTCTTGACTTGAAATCTTTTATTCTCATTGAACTTTACCTGGTTTTTCGAAATAATAAGAAACATGAGATGAAAAAAAAACTCTCATATTATTTATAAAGTATTAGAAGTAATTAATCCATGCACCTAATAATTCAACCAAAAATTCTTCCAATATACATCGTAGTCAATATTACAAATGTCGAAGTATAGATAACACTCTGAAGTGGTCTATTATAACCTAAAAAAAGGGAATCATTTTATATCTCGAATAGATGATACACAATAACCTCAACATTCGATGACAAGATAAAAGAAATTTCTTTCGCGAGTTTAATAATGTCCAATAGACTTCGGCTAATACCCAACTTTTGATTCAAAAAAGTGGTCAGATTTCTTCCATCTAAGTGAAACGTTACTGTTTTCAAAGAATGTCGAAAAAAAAATAAAAAGATCTGTAGAATAAATTATGTAGATTCTGAAAGTAGAGCTCTTAGTCTCTCGTTCTATAACAAAAACATTGTTCTAAAACTTGTCCTATGAAAAAAAAGTGTGCATTCTTTCTCAATTAAGAGTTTTTCAAAAAATGTGTATTCAATGTAATGAATGCGCACACTTTAGCATAGCTCCAAATCTTACGAAACTTGCACACAATGCTTTTCTCTGTCTGACACGTCTGCTCAGTTAGTACAAACGCTGCTAAGCTGAGATACAGATTCCCTGAATAACCATGGTTTTTTCACACTTTATTTGACTCACAAGTACCTTTAGACAAAAGTAATAATAGCTTAAAAATCAGTGCAAGAAATTGCATCGAATAACGTTTAGTATGTTAGTTATTTTAAAATAAAGTTTTTTTTGATAACAATTTAAGATAAGAGTTCTCTGAGGAGTTTTTCTTTGAAAAATTTTTTTAGCTTCATTTTGTTTTTTTTATTAGTCATTCTTTTCTTAGTAACAGATAATCTCTATGAAAAAACATATGATTTTGATAGTAAATAAGACATGTTCATATGCTCGATAAAAATTGGTCACTGTGTCGATAATGAATTTATTGAAAAATTCCTATCTGGATGACATCTAAGCAAGAGCAGAAAATCTTCTTCTTATAAAAGAATATAGGTTTCGTTTATTAGTCAATAATTCTTGTAGAAATTTTCAGAAGAAACGATATTTATGAAATTTAAGCCATGTTCCATCTTGAAGAAACAACGGAACTTACAGTTGTCAATGTTTGTAACAGGATTATAGACAAAAAAAAATAATTATGTTCTATTTTGATTATCAATTGCATTTTCAAAAAACTAATGATGTATTGAATTTTATTCAACAATATACGATTACTTCACGACATCTTAAAAATTCATCACAAGCACTAGTTTTGAAATTTTTTCTCTGTGAATAAATACAACGCTTAGGAAAAAAAAAAAAGGAACAAAATCAAAGATAAAATAAAAACTGATTACATTTACATAAAAATTATATAACAAAATAAACATAATCATATAAATCAAAATGTGAAGTTGTTGATCGCTGTTTCTATGCACTAAAAAAATAAAACAACAAGATTAGATTACTATCAAAAATTAAAAATTCTAGTATATCAACATTAACAAACATTGAAAAATACCTTAATAATTAAATAAACGAATTAACATGTCGATTGAGATATGTATCTGCTGTTATCATATCTGCAATATATTTTGGACTGAAAGAAAATAGAAATGTTCTTTTGAAAATGAATATTATATCTATAACGTACGTTTTGAAACAACATGGAAGACAAACTGATCGTGCTTCCATTGCTGTTGTTAAATCTTGCCAATCATGTGGACCTGACCATCGAGGAGTATCTTCTTCACTAAATTTTTGTAAACGACTTTTTGGAAATCCATCCGCATAATATTTCTAAAAGTTCAAGTTAACAAATTATATTTAGGAATTATTTTATTATGAATATTCAAATTTTATTTCAATTATCCAACGATCATGAAATATTCACAAAAGAAGATTGTATATGACATATATTGCTTATGTACACCTTTTTTTATTTTTTAAACTAATAGAATCTTATAATTATTTTGATTTCTTAATAAAGACAAAAACTTCAGAAATATTTTATTACGAGTTCTATGATGTTAATAGAGATTTTTAAAAAAGTGAATCGCTTCCTAATAAGAACAAGAAATCAAGAACTATCTATGAAATGTATTCCACTCTTACTATAATTTATATAAATTTTAACTTCTACAATGTCTTTCAAATAAAGACTAATGTCGATTTATAAGTAGGTCATTGAATGTTATTATATCGTTACTCGAACTAACTATACATTCAATACAGTATCGATCTGTCAACAAGATACAGAAAAGAAATACTTTATTTGCTAATAAGTACATTCTGAATGAATATAGTTAAAGAGGATATTAAGTCTTGCTATACTACAACAATATAAATCTGAATTAGAGTATCATAAGGTTTCGTCAGCGATTCATTAAGATAATAGTAATAAGTAATTAGAAAATAGGTACACTGCAGTTTCACGAAATAGATAAATCACAATCTATTATTAATTGGTATATCAATTCAAAAGTAATAGTTCATTTTGATGTTTCCTCGTAAATCAAGACGTAAAAAAAAAAAACAAAATCTTTTCTAACATTGCATAGAACAGAGTTTGACTTCAAATAAGATAAACAGCGACTATAGATAAGATAATGATTTCATTCTTTTCAATTTTGAAAAAAACTCGTATGAATGGACTAAAAAAACTATTTTTAACTACAGATCGAATCGAGTTGTATTACTAAATATATTTTTGATCTTGAAAAATTGATCCATATTTGATAGTGATACAATATAATTATTTAATAATTCATTGAAAATATAAATCAATTCAATATATCTAAACTTGAAATAAGCGAATTAATAGATCTAATATTAAAAATCTTGATTCATTTCTTTTATCTCTTATTATTTTTCAATATGAAATAATATTTGAAAAGAAAAGATCATTCAATAAAAATTTACCTTAACTGTATCATAACCATCAATAATTAATGCAATAACTAAACTTGATACAACATAAATAAATAAACATATAAATGAATATAAGTATATTTCAGAAAACACCCATACATAAATCGATTCAGTTTCTAAATTAGCAAATGTTGAATACATATCATCACCATTAATTAATGCAAATAAGGTTTCAAATGTTGTTGATATTGTTCGAAATTTTGTATGATAAGGACCTAGTACAATCCATCCACAAAATATAAATCCACAATAAATAATAAAAGCACATAAAAGAAAACGAAGAATAAATGGTAATGTTTTTTGAATTGTTACAAATAAAAGCTAAAAATGATCAAATTAAAAAAAATAAATAAATAATTACATGCGTTTACTTACATTGTATTTAGGAAAGAACGATAAATAACGTAGAATACCAATCCAAGAACATAGACTACTGAGACCAAGTAATAAACCAGCTGCATTATACATATCCATCACCTAATAATAAAATAATAAAATGAAACTTTATAAGAGATTATTTTATTTGATGATAAGTACATTCGAATGAGAAGAAGATCAGATGTTATTCAAATAAAAACAAAAATACTCAAGTATTCAATACAATCTTCATCATTAAATATATTCTTTGAACTAGATCAGTTTTGTTTTAGAATATCACTATAATCAAAAGCAAACTTTTATATGTAATTAAATTGAAACTCGAATCAAGACAAGAATAGGTATGTACTAATAAAAAAATTCTCGATTTTGATATTTGTCTTAGGATATCGATAAGAAAAATAAACTTACGAATATTTTTTTTCAGTATATGTTACAAGGAATATTAAATCTCTTGAACTAGAATTATATCATTATTTTCTGTATCTTCGTATGACAAGTCCTAATAAATAATAACATGTTATCGTGAATGTAAATATTAATCACATCGTTGTATACTCGTGCGTAACATTAAATATGGCTGATTTACGTAACCTTGATCCAATAGATCTATTAGCCATTGCATTTAGACAAGCATGTAATTTTAGTGATAATTGCGTATTACAAAATCTTGTCCGTGCAAAACAAAGACAATAGCGCACGATTTACTTTGATTTAGGATGCATGGATTAGTTTTCGTAAGATTATATAGTTTATAAAGATACTTTAATATTTTTCAAAGTAGCAAAACGTTTTTGAATAAAATGAATGATATATTCATCGTTGCCTTTTGACAAAATATTATCTATCAATTTCAAACTAAATAATCATCTATAGATCTTTTTGAAAATTTTTCATAATTTAAAAATGATAATACTTTTGGACAATATATTTTGAACAAATTATAGTTAAGATATTTTCATTTCAGTACATAATTACTTCTCAGAAAATTTTTATTTCAGTCAAAAAAATTTATCTGATCTTACTTCGGTAACATCATAAACCATACCTTCATCGGAAATTCATCTTGAGAAAAAAAAAATTTAATAGTGCACACAGAAAAGTATGCCGAATTTGATTCGTTGAATAATCCAGTTTCTTATTGATACCTTCAGACAAATATCACAATTAAAATTACTATCGATTTTCTGCAAAGCTAGCACAAAGAAGTCATTTATCACAAACTGATTCTTCAGTTTTTGTCAATCTACTTTTCTCTAAAACTTGGATAGCTTCTAACATCATCTTAAACTTAAAAAAAGAAACCTTAAT